TTTAAAACTTAGATGAAGTTAAGAAAAAAAAAGATTTTAACAAAACACTAGCTTTTTATTAGAAATTCCTTTAGTGATTGTAATCAATAAAATCTCTATATATTCTTAATATATAATTGAATATAATCTGTTTAAAATAAATTTTGTTAATTTCATTTACTTACATACCTAATTTTTATTAGATACTAAACAAGATATTGTATGATAAAAATAAAGTTTTTTTCTGATTACCTTCTTGCCGAATATAATTTGACACTCAACAACTAATAACTAACTATCATTCCCAAAGAGGGTTGATGTCAGGCAGGCGGCCGGTCGTGAAAACAATTAGCCAAAACTATTCACAACATGTAAGGCAGACTCTGGCTGAAGCTGGGAAATTGCCAGGTAGAAGAAGAACTAATAAGTAATTATTATTTATTATATTGTTTCAGATATTTCAGATGCTGTATCTATTAATGAGTATCTTATGTGATGTGTCGTTAATGTTGAAGGGGCCCAATGAACACAAGGCGATAGGTCTTTTGAGAAGTTACAGCAAAATATTCTTCGGGGGAGTTGTGTGGCCTTGTTCAACGGTTAATATATTTACAATATATTAAAAAAATATTATTACATATATATAAACTAGCTTTTGCCGCGGCTTCATCCGCGTGGAATGGTGACTTCCGGAAGATTTTTGGTTCTTCTTGGTGATGTTATATAGCTTCTTGGTGATGTTATATAGCCCATAGCCTTCCTCGATAACTGGACTATCCAACACAAAAATAATTATTCAATTCGAACCAGTAGTTTAGGAGATTAGCGCTTTCAAACAAACAAACAAACTCTTCAGCTTTATAATATTAGTATAGATAATGAGTCGTTAGAAATTTCCACTTAAATGTTTTTTCGACATGAATGACCATTTTATTTTTACAAAAACATTATCTTTGTTAATGGTTTTTCCAGATCTTTTTTTGTTAACACTAAATTATTAAATTTATAATATACTTGAGATTAATTACTTTTAAAATAGTTTGTAATTTCCTTCGTTAGAGACCGAACAAATTTAAATTTTACTGAAGATTAATTAAAATTATATCTAACTTTCATCATAGTACTTACATAAAAGACTTTCATTAAAAAAGTAGTGAAAAAACTGTAATAATAATTTTATTTTAATTTATAAATCTCATATAAGAATCTGGCTATAGCTGGGAAATTGCCAGGTAGAAGAAGAAGATATAAATCTCATATATTTTAATTAATTTTTCCAGTTGATATTCATAATATTCTGGCCGATGTACATCTATGACAGGGAGTTACTATTCCCGACGTACATCGACAAGGCTTTAAGTCAAGTTTCAAACCACGTGATGCACACCTCTATACTGCCTATCGCAATTTGGTGTTTAATTTTTCAAACAGAAAGCAAACCACGACATCAATTTTGGCACAAATTTCATCTTGTGACTTTGTTCATCTGTTATATAAGCTTGTAAGTATAAAATATGTAATTTAAAATAATTAATTTATAGAAATTAACTACATCAAAGCTAATTAACGAAATATTAATCAAGGTTAATGAGGTTAAATAATATAGTTATTTTTTATTGCAGTTAAATTTTCTTAGCTTTAATTGTATAAATGTATATTTTAACTTGACTTTTTTATTACAAAAAAACCTCATACAATCTTATAATGTCCATATAATGAGTAGTTTTTTATATAAATGTTTTATTAAACTGTTAATAATATTAAATAAGTATTTTAATGATATTATATGATCATTTTCTTGATTACAGTTTGCTTTACAACTACAGTCTGACTGGAACCTGGCCGTATCCACTCATGAACATAATTTACGGAACAATATATTTCCCAATATTTTTTATGATAGTATTAGCTTTATACTTTTATCTATATACTGTACAGTTTCGAATGACAGCATTTTTAAACGATAAATGTCCTAAACTTAAGAGTATATGAAAACTGATTGTATTGTAAACCTACAGTTTTTTAGCTTCATTTATGTAAAGCAAGAAAACTGTAATGAAACTGTTTGTGAAATAAATGTATTCGTCGAGAATTTCTTGTTTATTGTTATGTATAGATATTAAAGATGATGCTAACAAATAGTTCAAAGGTCAAAGGTCACTGGGTATAAACAAATAAAACACAATCCCTTGCAAGTGATTCGAGAATAATAATAAAACAATATTTTATTTTATTGGTTCTTAGCTCCACTTCCGTCTAATTAGGTACAATGTTTGTATTGAATTTATAAACCAACAAAGCTATGCGTGCGTGCGTTAACCGAAGGAACTATTTACAGCTTTTTTACAATAAAACCTCTCAAGATGATAACTCTTTATTCAAGTAATTCCCCGATCAACACGCGCACTTTATAGTATTTATATAATCTGTTTATATTACATAGATATATATATGTTTTTATTATTTTTATTTTTATTTTTTTTTTCAATATTTTGTTTCTCTTTTTTAATATGTTCAGTAATGTGTAAAAATACTCAATATTTAACAAACGAATACTTTTTTTTTATAATATAAAATAATTATCTCATAGAAAACAAGAGGTACAAATTTTTTTTTTTTTACTATTTATTTATAAAGAAGGTCTTCCTGACCTCCCCGTATATATTAGAAGCTCTTCTAAATAATTATTGGTGAAATGATATTAATTCAAACAATTCAAAAAGACCGTCATCAAAAGCTCGGTATAATCGTGTTTTTATTCGCGCCTCGTCTTGCCTTTTCTCCAAAATACATTACAATACATCATGTGTCCAAATCTATAAACTGTTTTAGTGAAAATTTTTGCAAAACATAGTACAAAAGTTTTTTTTTTATATTATTATATTTTAGAAATACCTACAAGACTACCCAGCAATTAAAACGTTACCCTAAAAAGGTAGGTGGTGTTTTTTAACTTGAAAAATATTTAAGTTAAAAGCCATCCACTCATACGACGTATCAGTTCTAATACTAAAACTATCACGAAAAAGTCTCCCGTCCTAAGATATAAGAACGACCTCTCACCTTTAATCCGCACCAGTCACAAGTCTACTTTAAGAATTAATGAATGGACAACATTTTATTCATTCTTCATATATATATACCAAAGCATCCGAATCCGAATCCGATATTTTTTTGGAAACATTTCAAAATAAATTCGAGGTTCCGCCCGCTAACAAAACGTAAAAATTATAATATAATTGTTATTTTTTTTATTCGTCAGTCTGTATAACTTGACTTTACATTTTTATGAGAAATTAATTAAAATAAAAATACCACGTTCGTAGCAGGCTTTAGAATAAGACGGTTATTTTAATTTTTTAGGCAAAAGCGGTTTATTATTATTTTTTTACCGAATTTTTCAGTCTTAACTATATCTGCCGTTTGTACGTTCGAGGTTTTTTCTCTCCATTAGATATGCATAAACGACAAAGCCTTCATTTTAAATCGTTCAGCAAAACAATATTTAATATCTGATATTTTTTTCATGTAAAATTAAATAAAATTTATTTATTTCTCTTTTTTTTCAAGTCAACAATGTTATGTAATTAAATAATATATATATTATATTGAAATAAAATTGAACCACCCGTATATTTTATTACGCTATATTCTCACTATTTATGCATGAATTATATCTATTTTAATTATTAATTAAAAAATATATAAATAATCATGTATATGTATATATAAATTAAAAAAAATAGAAAAAAAATATCGGAAATCATAAAAAAATAAAACAAAACAAAACTAGACAATAACAGATTGCTTTATTTAACAAAAAATATATAATATATAGAAAGTTAAAAAAAAAAAACAATATATCGACATGACTCACAGACGACGTCTTAGAACATGATCCAAATATATGTTTTAATAGAATGTAAAATTATAATTAACCCATCGAACCTTATTTATTACAAAATACATACGATTATAAGATATTTACAAAATATGAGTCGATTAATTACAAGTTAATATATCCAGTCTATTATAAAGGCTAACCAACGAACTTAACGTAGTGTTAGACGTACATACACCTACACGACGGCGGGCGATACGAACGGGACGAAAAAAATATAAAGCTAAGAAAAACATATTAATTATTACGTATGTACTTCATATTATGCGAGAAAAACCGAATGACAGACGAGTGTAAAAAAAAATGAGATCAAAAAAATTTAAAGTAAAAAAAAATTTGCCCGCCGTCCATACAGCTCGAAACGTACAAAAAAAAATCACGATCAAATCTCATTATCATAGAAAAGGGTCGAAATCATAATAAATACACGTTAAATAATAAGATTCGATCATTCATTTACATTCATATACGTTCATTTAACTTCATATATTGTTCGAACGTGAATGTAACGCGAGTCCCATTCACGATAATTCTGTTCGAAGAAAGCTAACCAAAGTTAAAAAGGGCAGTATCAAGTATCCTATATTACAAAATAAACTTCGTCCTACAAAAAACATCAATATTAATAATCATTTGAAATAAATAACAAGTTACATTCTTTATAAAAAAAAAACTGTTAAAATTATTAAAAAAAAAAATGACCTACCTCTTAAAACAAAATGTGGTCTACAACTTTATTTATAATCTTAATAAAAAAAAACCTCTATATCTATTATTATATATTTATATAATAATTATTATTTCTTCGTCATTATTAAAAATTATCAACTATAATAATCCATACGATTATACATTCGAATGTACATACGAATGTGAGCCGTCGACGGCGATCCGATGCTTTAATGAAAAAAAAATATATATATATATATACATATATATAATATTGTAGGTACGTACATAAATATGTTAACAGTCTCAAAGTACATACATACAATCATAATATAACAAGTACGGATCGGCCACACACGGTCAAGTCTCAAGTGAGATCGCTAATCAAACAGTTGTTGTTGTGTGTTATTATTGTTTGTGTTGTGTCCACAGTTACTGAGTGTATGCTCAGTTACTGAGTGTAGTCCAGCACGCTGTCCAGTGAGAACAGCTCCTTATAGAGCGCTGGGAAAACGTGGTGTGGATGAGCGGCCTTGAAGCGACAGAGAGCCTCGAGGTGCATTAGTGACAGCTCTCTGTAATAATATATACATAAATACATTATTATACAGATCATTCATAAATACAGTAGAAATTCTATTAACCGGTTTAAATGTTGTCGATAGGCATTCGGATAATTGAAAATCCGGATACCCGGTATGAAGAAAGCCGGTTTTGTCCTTATGTACTACAAAACTACAACTACTACTAAACCTGATTTAATCATGAAATATATTACAATATGAATTTGGTGATTTGCAATTGGTGATCATGAATTAAAATAATAAGTTTAATTTGGTTTAGAATATTTGGCAATTGTCATTTAAAGTACGCTACTCTCAACAACACCACTCTTTTTTTAATATGTATTTATTAGTCAAAGCGAGTAATAATCGCTAACTAATTATAACTAATAGCAATAACGAAATTCGCGGGGAGTGATCTTTTTAGCTAATTCGACTTGTAAGTTTTAGGTGTTTCATATAATTGGACAGTAGTCCGGATAATCGCGAACCCGTATAACTGACGGCCGGATAATCGAGTTTCTACTGAATTATACATAATTTTATAAATTAAAACATAAATTTAATTATAATTTTAAATGTAACGTATATACCATTTTAAATAAAACATGTATGTCATTTTAAATGAAACATATATATCATTTCAAATGTACCTGAAGGTGGGTATCTTAGCCAGCAGCGTGTCCAGTACAGTGACGTCCCCCTTGAGCGGCGCGTGGTTGGTCTCTATCTCGTGTCTCATGGTGGCCATGGACATGTTAAACAACATCTGGATCTCAGGGTTGCCGCGGACACCGTGACGCTCTGACACGGAAATATAACGATTAGTATGTCATAATGAATGTATTGTGCATTTAAATGTATAATAATGATTGAAAAATATGGATTTTATTTCCAAGTACTAATTAATTTACATATCAGTAAACTTAAATAATAATTGTATTATAGTAATAGTAAAAAAATATTCTGTTTCATATTTGTATATTGAAACCAGATGATACATATATTTGATGTATTCCAAATATCTTTTTAATGTTATATATTAAAGTATGTGCAGCAAAAATAATAAAAGTATGTTGTTGTATCTGTATGTATGTATGTGTGTATGTATGTATGTATATATGTATGTATGTGTGTTCGTCTCACCAGGCCACAGCAGCACCAGGCTCTGGTACAGCGCCAGTTCAGTCTCCGTCAGCTTCAGTCTGGCGATGGTCTTAGCGGCGTCGAATATACCCGCCACTAGTGACATGTCGCGGGGATCACTGGACAAATAATACGAAAAATATTATTATAAATGTTTATTATATTACATTCGAACTCAAAATTGTATATATTAGTTTTCTTTTGAAGTAAAAAAGATCATTATGGAATATAAAAGGCATTTTTTTTGAAATATTTATATATAAGATTTAATCTGGTTATCAAATTGGACGAATTAAATACATATTTTGGTTTATAAGTGATTTTTCTATTTCTTTTGAACAAAAACAAAACGCTACTACAATAAAATCATTTACGAATATTCATAGATTATGGATATAACCATAATAGCTATAAGAATGATATGATAATATCACTCACCGTGCGTGTACACACTCCCTTATAGGTAGCACCACGTCGCCGTACAACACGTGGTCTCTGTTGATGTCTATCAGACGAGACAGACGGACGATGGCCAGCTCGAACGAACCTGACGTGGGAGAGAGACGGTTAGATATAGATAGAGATAGACAGAGATAGACATTATATTACGAGGGTGTTGTTTTTTTAATTAATTTTTAATTTATTAGCAGTCGTTGATACAAACGGTTTTTTTTACATTAGATTTGACAAATAACTAATCATTCTGTCGCACTTCAAAACACGGAGATTTATGGCTTTAATGGGTAAACTCCAAAAATATAAATAACAAAACGTAACAGATGTTTCTTGATTATAGGGCGATATGAAGTTCGCCGGGTCTTCTAGTGTTATATATTATTATAGTATTTCCTCACAAACCTGACTTCAGCAGCAGTATCTGGTCGTCCTGGCTCAGCTTCATGAAGCCCGGTATGAGTTTAGCGAACTCTATGATGTTCTGAATCATTGATGTGAGCTTGTTGGCACAGTCGAGCCACATCTCCTCGTACGTCATCGAGTTATAGAATAGTAACCTGATACAAAACATTATATATAAAACGACTGAACAGGATATGATGAAGTTCATTATAAAGTATAGGTGTGGTATCAGGATGTACTCACTTAGATACATCGGGCGGCTTCCTGAACATCTCGTGTATGTACTCCAACTTGGGGTTCGTGTTAGCGTGAGCCTCAGCAAGACTTTTAACCAGTACCTTACTTATTTCACCTTCCGCTGTAATATTATAATCATGTTCATTTAAATTCATTTAAAAATAGAATCTAATAAATTTGAATTCATTCAACTACATATATCAGCATTCCATTGAACATTCATATTCAGAATCTATATGAAATAGCTAACATTTAAAAAAATAATGTGAATAGCATTCATTTAATGTGATATATTTTATACAAAATAAAAACTCTATGCAACATAAATTGTCAGCGAAATAATAGAAAAAATATATATAAAAACAAAGATGTCAAATCATAAACGTCACAATGGATTTGGTGTAAATAAATAATGATTTGTTTTTCATACAATGGCTCTTGATCCACTTTCCGTTATATTATTGAGTACGTGGATCATAGCGTGCTGGCGTAAGTAACAAAATATACCAATTAACATATTTATCAAAATATTTTACTTTAAAATATACTTTTTATATTATCCCTGTGATACATATAAAATTGTCTCAAACTATTCAAGTCTTGTATGAGGCAACACAACTGAGTCTCTATTTTGTTTACTGAGCATTCATTTTATTTGTCAGCATGTATTCTACCGTGCTGCTTCCCGTTCCTGCCGTATCCTGTGATCATTATCGACGGCAAACGATATAATAATAACAATAATAACGTAAGTAATATATATTCTACTATAGAATATATAATAAATTCATTTACATTAATTTCTTATTATTCACCAGATGAACAAGAACGATTACGTGTGTTTCACAAGGAGTGGCTTCATATTCAGGAATGTACCGTATCAACGTAACTAATGTGATGATTTGGGATATAAGAAATTATTTAATGAAAAAAACAATACATATATATATGTCTACATAACATAGCGTAAGCCTACAAGCCGACTTACACGGCAGATCATCCGTGTTTCCTTGTTGTCTGCGTGTGGAGACAGCGTTTGGATTCACCATACCCATTCCTGACATGTTCATGTTGAGAGGATCCATTAGTCGCGCGTTACTGTTCGTTAGGTCATCCGGACTGAGTTCTTCACTTGTCAACGAGACTGAACTCTGTCCGCTCACTAGCACAGAATTCTGTATGTCCATTGGACTATTTATGTTCGATGGACTATGTAGGAATGTCGTTGAGTCGACATAGCTCGCCACTAGATTGTCAACACCCATGGAAGTCTCAGGTTTGATTTCCTGTTTGATAGCTATAACGCTAGGCGGCGTCTGAATCCTCTCATCGTATCTGTCGAACTCCTGTATCCTCGGTCGGCTCACATCGCTCTGTTGTCTCATTGTTGTTGTTGATGTCGTCGCTGTTGTTGTTGATGTCGACGCTCGTATGGTTTTTTGTTGTTCGTCTAATGGGATTTAATGTATCTAATAGTTTCTGTATAATATATTCTGTTCAACCGATACAATACTCACCATGATCTATGAAGTCAGTGTCGAGGAAGCCGGGCTGCTTGGGTTCGTACGTGGTGGAGTCCACGTAGTTGGCTGACACGTCGTATTGGGGAGGTTGGGCTTGAATGTTCAGGTTGGAGTTTAGAGGCGCGTTGTACCCGTATGAGGACAGCGGGGAGCCGTAGTTCTGGTAGCTGTTGAGCATAACTGAGCATTAATTTCTGAGTCTGAGAGTCCATATTTATATTATCTATATATATTTTTGTTCAGTTTTATATATTCTTTCTATTTAAATGATTCTTGTATAAAAATAATTTTATTGTTATTGATACAATGATAATATAATAACAAAAGTACAAATGTCCGCTGTTTTATTGACATCGTGTACATATTCCTATAACGTTACGAGATTACAATTAAATATAGCTGTAGGGAGAATCAATACGTAATTTACAAGACCGCCATCTATCAGCGACCGCAAGAACCATAAAGTACCGCTACCCGCTGCTAGATGGCGCTAAGTACCGTTAGCTGTCATTCGAGTAACGATCCGTTAGACCAAACGTCGGTTAGTCGTTAGTAAAAGACTCGCTAACGGTAACAGGAGAAAGCAATGTAACGGTCGACAAAAATACATACTACATACATAGAATAATATATATGGATTGTAGGAATTGATGAATTATTGCTGTATATAATATAGCATATATGTATATAAAATTTATTCCATCAAATTCATATTAGTGTAGACCTTAAATTAATTGTATGAATGTGTCGTGTATTATTAGTGTTAGTTCCACTACTGTCCGCTAGATGTCACCTGTTATAGTGTCCGTGGAACTGGTCGCTGGAGCTCGGCGTCTGTTGCTGCGCGTCATACACAGAGTCGGGCGCAGCATCCGTCTGTGCTCTCATCTGTGCTTGATGGAATCTCACCTCATCTTCGACTTTTTCACGCTGTTTCTTGGACATACGACCGAATTTCACCGCTAGAAAGATTATATTGATGTGTTACGTAATTATATATGTATATAATTAAGTCTTGTATGTGTGTGTGTGTGTGTGTGTGTGTTAGTACATTGGCACAGTGCCTAGTGGAACAATGAACTCTAAGCATGACGTCTGACAGTTTAAGTCGATCCCGTTCTATAAGCCGGCCGTGTTGTGAGAGACACGTCTTATATATAATCTTATATATATTCAAATTGGTCGTATTATAATTTTCGGTCTCAAAGTTAGCTAGTGTATTTTGAGCCGCGCGTCCTTATAATATGTTCGCGTAAAGAGGTCATCTTGTCTGGTCGCAAATAACCGATATATTGTGTTTTGTACAGAATAATAGGTCTTGGTATTTTTGCTAAATTTTTTGGAACAATGACCTCTGTCTACCGTCCTATTAAGTATAGTTTTGTACTACTTTTGTATGTCTGTCTTTTCAAAGAATATATTTTAAATATCTTTGTTATATTCTTGTATATCTTCCTGTATTTACCTTCATATTATATCTGTTTTAATGAGTATTATGTAATTCTAATCAGTAAGTGTTAGTAGGTATTACGTAGCACAAAAACACACATACGTTACGCTTCGCGCCCGCAGTTGCACAATGTTAGGGATGGGACATGGGTGTACGCTATCGATAATATAATATCATGGCTCTTATAAAAATTTATCGATATATTTAAAAATTTAGAACTAAATTAAGTTCACTTTTTATCTTTAATTGATTTAAATATGATAGAAAATAATTAAATAAGTATCATCAATAGGCATAATATGTTTGTTCTCAAATTGACAAAATAAAATAAATTATGAAAACTAACTATGTAAATACTAAACTAACTACTAAAAATTAATTTATAATAAAACTAACCAAATTAATCAGTCTATTATTTTACATATACATAAAGTTAAGTTAGAACCATTATACTTATTAGTGACATATTTGCATATGTATATAATATAATATTATACCTGGCAGACCCTGGCTAAAGCTGGGAGTTTGCCAGGATAAAGAAAAAGATAATATAGTAATATAATTTATAATATACATCGATGTATGTCCCATCACTATACATTACGTGTAGTTGTGCAACTCGTCGGTGCACGCGAGTCAAACACTAGGACGACTTATATAAACGAGGAACGGGTTCGAATCCCGACACACACACACACACACACACACGCACACATACACACACATACATATATGTATATATATATAAAGTAATGTATATACTTTCATATGAAGTTATTTATATGGAATCATCTATATATATATATATATGTTTGTTTTCATTTCCCCTGTTTCCCCGTAACAACAGCGTTATCAGCACTGATAACAGTTCATTGACCCCGCTTCCTTGTTAGCACGTGGAGTTGAATACTTGGAAGGATTGATCGCTCGGCTTGTTATATATTAAGAATTGTGAATTTATATATTAGTATTTTATTTGTATGTATGTATGTCACAGAATTAATTTGAATCTTTGTAAATGTAGGTGTGTTCGTCACGTTCTAAATATCTAATGAACGATACATTTCTAATGTATTTCTTATAAAATTTTAATAAAAACTATATTAATTTTATTATATAAAATACTCAACCAATCTATACAATCAAATCGTATTCAAATAATAATTTATCGAGGACTTATTTAGATTAGTTCCAATAACCTCACATAGAGAAATAAACTATTTATAGTATAGAAATTAGAATACATGTCCAAAATAACAAGACATATACAAGCGACTATTATCTCTAATGGAACTTTCATCTCATCTCATATATCTCATCTTATCTCATCTCATCTCATAGGTATATCTCATAAATCTCATAGATCTCATCTATCTCATCTATAACTCACCATCGCGGCTCATCCCCAGCTTAAGACACTTCTGTAGCCTGCAGTACTGGCATCTGTTCCTGTTAACTCGGTCCACAACACAAGCCTTGTTCCTCGGGCACTGGTAGTTGACCACTGGAATGATGAGCTGTGTTAGTGATACCATTTATGATGGTGTTTGTGTATATAGATAGATATAATACACTGTCTCATACCCCATAGAGAGGGTGGCATGCGCTCGGCAGTGTAACGACTAGCGTGCAGCAAAATGGGGTAGTAGTGACAGTGACTAGTTATACTTACATATAGGACCAAATATCCTACAATGTTGATTAGTGACGTCATCACTAAAGTATGCTCGATAAAGGTATAAATAAAATTTATTTTGTGTTTACGTAGCCAGGAATCGAACCTGGTTCACGAATGATTATATTATATAGACATTATTACAGCATATAATTTTTTAAGTAAATAAAAATTGCAATTATAATATATTAATACAAAACAAAAATCATCGAATACTGTGTAAAATTAAAACGTAAAAATAAAATTATTCTAAATTGCATAGGAATAATTAATTGCATTATATATACAGGGTGACTGGTGAATTACAACACCACGCTGATACAACAGCACGCCGCCAAACGCGTCTGTGTGTGTGTGTGTGTATACCTAATCTGTAGGGTGTTCATACGATGCGTAATTAATTACATAACTTTTGGTTAACTTTACTTAGAAGTTTATTAATATTTATGTTATATTAATTTCTATTTCGTCATATATGATCGTCAAATATCACGTCCTCAAGTATCGATAGTAATTCACCAGTCACCCTGTATATATATGATGTAAACTAATAATTCCTGTGCACAGAATGCAATGCATATTCCATTGCACAGATATATCTGTGTAATATATAATATAATGACGTCTGCCGACCTGTGCTCTGTGACCTCCTAAAGAAGCCCTTGCATCCCTCACAAGTGATGACACCATAATGTACTCCAGATGACTTGTCTCCGCACACCTTGCAAGGTATGATCTCGATTTGGGCTGGAAATAATGAAAATATATTAATTATGTATATGAAATATTAATATTCATTTAAAGTATAAAAAAGCTATAAAAAATTTTAGGTATTTTCAAAACTATTAATAAGACTAAAGTATTCTGATTAAACGTGAAATGTGAAAAATATAGCAAAATTTCGTATAATAAATTATATATATGAAACTAATATTTTTCGGATTAAAACGTGTTTTTTATTTTAAACTATTGATCTCAACGTTTCGGATAATTTACAACCGTGATCATTAATACGAGAGAATGTTATAAAATTAATAAAATACGCTTAATTATCTAAATAATTTTAGTTTTATATAAATATTATTAATAATATTCCCAAACAGGGTTGATGTCAGGCAGTCGGTCGTAAAAACAAATAGCCAAAAATTATTCACAACATGTAAAGCAGACCCTGGCTAAAGCTGGGAAATTGTCAGGAGAAGATCAATATTATTAATAATATGAAATTTTATATATTTTTTCTTATTTTTCGATTAGTCATAGTTTAGTCTTAGTAATAGTTTTTAAAAGAAATACAGATAGTATTCTGTTAATTCATTTAACTACATTGAAACTTATGTGAAAAGATTAATTCAAATGTTATTTGGTAAACTTGTATTTTTACTATGAGATCTCAAAAGAAATATATATTACTATATATAAAACACAGTCAAAATACATAAAGTAATTAATAATTTTTTTTGGGTATATATGTATATATTGTATCTTAATACTATTACAACGTAGTAGCATCGTACAGTTAAACCATCAGTTTTACGTTTTTCATAAATAAATCTATACAAACATATGACATGATTTATGAATGAAAATTATTAATATACAAATTTATAGTAACCAATAGGAAATAAGGATATTGCAAATCAACTGAAATTTATTATAATTCGGAAACGACTTAATATGTACTATTATTAGGAATTTAACTTTATATTCTTATTTAATATAACAGTTCCAAATTGGGAATTAAATAATGATTAATATAATTCCAAATTCAAAAAAACGAAATAAAACAACCAAAAAGGTTTATAACAAACAATATGACATTAGACGGCAGAAAAAAAAGAAAAACATTTGACAGTTCCAAATTCAAAATTCCATGCGAACGTTTTCGGTCGAGTTCGTCGACCCCGCCGCAAGGTCGGAGCGCGGGCGATGACTCCGTATTGTATGTGTGTTGTGTTGGAATACAATCAATAGCCGCCCTTATTTATATATATAACAAGGTCTATATTCTATTGACGTATTATAGCCGTCAATGTGTGCGTCCATGTTTGGGAGTGTACGGGATCCTAGACCGATTTGCTTTTAATTGGAAGCCAGTATCGTAATGCAGGTGTCGGTTGACAGTTTTTTTTTTTTATCCTATTAAGCATCCGTCCACAGTATACATCTCAGTATTTATTAATTGTTACATTATTAATCTGTTTTTACTAATGTAATTTTAATTGTTATTAAGCTTAGGCCACGTGTGTGACGCAATAAATTGATATGTTATTTAGAATCAAATATTGTATGAAGATTTCAAATGTTTGATTTATAATAATAAATAAAAAAAATATTTTAGGGGAATCGACGATAATTTATTATGAATATAATGAAGTTAATTTAAACATTAGCTGTACACAAACATTAATTAAATGTACAAATCTATGAGCATTGTTTTAAAGTTTTTGTTACAATATAACAGTATACAAGAGGAAGTTTTAAACAATGGCGATTGAAAACAAACACAAATAGCGGATTTTGATAAAAATAATGTACACGTCAAATTAAAAATAGACAGGATATTTTTTTTATCTGTGCTCATTATAATGCTTTTATAGTCTGTGGTGATTTTGAGTACTCTATTGGTTGTAGGAGATGTAATTTATAACATATTGGGATTCTCCGTAGCTCGTTAGTAACATATCCTTGTTAGAGAGGGACGGGTGACGCGTGCACTCGGTCAGCTGTTCGTGACGTCAGAGTTCATTGACCCCCCCCGCTCGGATTGTATCACGTTTGTGACGTCACGAGGGTTGGGAATTCGGGCGGGGCTTACGGTATTCCAATTTTAAATATTCCAATCGTCACAAATTGACACATGTCATTATGACATTCCGTCATGTGATGGATATGTTTTTTTTAATTCATTCCATGCAAAGCTTCACGTTATACTTATTGTGAATAAAATGTTTAATTTATTAATTTTGTTGAATTGATGTAATGTGTTAATTATAAAAATATTGATGTATCAATTTTTTTATTTAGATTTGATTTGTAAATACTTTTATCGATTGTAAATTGTAGGTAGATTAAAAATAAAACAGTTTTTACTACTATGAATAAGATTTTTTTGAATGGAATATTATTATGACCGTATATAGGAGTTCTCATAACATATTATAGCAAAATACAACAACAAAATGATATCACTATCACACCCACACCGCGTCACAGTTCAACAAACTCAAACCAAATCCAAGACTCGAATTTGAATTTTAATCTAACGGCCTGTACGGTACTCGGAAGTCCATTGTAATGTCGCCTTTATTACTATAGACATAAGAGCCACCCGGCCCTCCGTAAGGTGAACGCCCGCAGATGTCCGAACGAACAGCACAACTTTAAGTTATCTATCATATATTTTTACATAGCATCTATTCCAATGGGCTAAAGTTTAATATCGTATGGCATATAATTCACGAATATGATTCATCTTTGTATAGTCCTTCGTCTTCGAAATTCGAATAGCTCTCAGAATAGGTTTTATATTACCAAATTTTTTTTTTACAGCCTCCAAGGACTGGCTGAATACAAAACTTTTTTAAAAGAGGTCCAGACGAATGAGGTTACACAATACACTGTTCTATAGAGAATTGTGATTTATATGATTTGAGAACATTTATTTGGGAGCGAACAAAAAGCCACTATACGAAATCAATGCTGTGTTTCATTTGTACGCTCAGATTCGTCATACTAGTACAAGTTTAGTTTATAGTTCGTAGCAATGATTTATAATTAATAAATATATTTTTTATAGCCCTGTTTACAGAGTCTCGCTGAATATAACATTATTTTTAGTTTTGGCTTTAGATCAGCTGACGCTGCGAGTACATTGACCCCGGCTGATCGATACGTGAAACCGAAATACACTGAATTACTTAACATGTGTACATTACATATAATAAATTTTATTTCCAGAACTATCATATAATAATTAATACTATAGTAAAACCTTTTTACTTAATATATGTCATTACTGGCAGTTAATAAAAATCTTTAATTTGAAATTTGAATTTAGAACGTCGAACTGAAGTCCTTTTTGTGCAGAGTATTTACGTAGGTCGTTCGTATTGGGTGCTTTTACACGACGTAACAATTAATGATTACAAGGACGTATGTAGGCGAATGTACCGACATACAAACACATATATGAAAGATTCTCTCATATATAATATATATGTATTGTATATGTATAATGTATGCGGTTTATTGGTATTTATCACGATGGCACAACGGCAATGACCCAATATCGTTCAGAACATTATCAGATAGAAACTGAACGTAATATTTGCTGTGACGTATAGTGACGTCACTAGGTCAATGAACCAGTTACGAAAATTTAAATATGGAATTTATTTTAATACTATATAGATTGATTTCACTTTTTTTTTAATTTTTTTACCTTTCCCCATCGCTCACTAAGGAACCTCTCGCCAAAATGTCCGTGTTACGTGTGCGTTAATTTGGTGCGCTCCCTAAAATAAAAGTGATAGTGACGTCATGTGACAGGTCAATGACCCGCGAGTGTTTTTCGTTGAGTCATTTTTACATTGTTCGACAATTATCGAGTATATTGTAATGAAACTTTTAAAATATTCCAAAAATTACCTAGTTTAAACCCAGTCTTAAAAAAAATCATTAAATTCAGCATTTTAGGCAAAATAAGCGAGACCATTTCAGATGAAATTCAAAAAATCACGTACTTTACTTTAAAAACTGGCTTTTTATATAAAGGAATAAACGCATTCAAGAAAACAAAGTACCAGGGATGTATGAACGAAAAGGAGTTTCCACCAAACTATATTATCCATAATGAAGGGTCCATAGTAAAGTGCACTCTAACTTAAGCGATATAAAATACAAATTCCAATGCACTCGACGCACTTATAATGTTCTGAATTCAAATGTATAATGCACGTGCCAGTTTCGTGGGGTGAATGCACTTGACACAATTTGCACTTTGACTTATTACTCAATCCTTTTACAGCTGTCTGTAGGCGCGTTCCATTCAAGTACAGGCTTCACGAATGCACTGTCACATACATTGTATAGATAAAATTTATATGTATGTATCATATGCAATTTAGGTGCGTCGTCTTAACCCAAATTTTGTCACAATTAACACCAATACAGAAAGAACAAAGAATAACTAATGGCGGCAAACAGATCCAGGTCACTCATTAGACATTTGGAGCGTTTGAAATAATTAACAAATTAATATATTTGGAACGGCATATTGGAATTGGGTTTACCAAATATTGTGACACGTTTCGAACAATTCATCTTTATAAGAACTGTGACATATAGATTTATTATTGTAATGAATTATATTTTTTTTATAGTTCATACGATAATGGGAACAAACAGACAAATAAAGAACTTTGTGTTTACTAAATCGTGAATAGATAATATGTATTTGTAATAGCGATACAGACGGGCCTAGCTATACTGGTATTGATATAAAATCGTGCCTAATATACATATGTTACCTTAGAAGTTTATTAAATTAAATTATATGTAGATTTTTGTATGAAAATAAGTACAATACAATAAAAAAATATACATATTATGTCTAAAGACGCGACGCGACGAAACAGTCGTAAGTCTGCTCTACAATTAGTTTATTAGTTACGATATATGTTTATTTTGTTATTATTTACTCGGTTTATCCGATTTAAAGTAAAGTTCAAATTGATTTATTACTTATATAAGGCAAGTTTCAGACTGGACGTTTTAAACTCCGCAACTCGACTCCAGACGGCCTCCATAAGCTTTTAAGCAAAAATCAATGTAAGGTTACGTAACTGAGATACAACTTAGCTCTAAACTAGACCTAACTTAATGTATTGCGGCTTGAAGAAGTATATATAATAGTTTAAATTGATCAAAAATTATTGTGTTATTTTCCATTACCTCTGATGGAGTTAGCGGCTTTTTTATCCATAAACATTCCTGAAATGGATGTTCCGAACATAGAGTCGCTGTTCCCGGGAGGCGGGGAGGTGCTGTCGGCCACGGAGCTGTTGGTGATGTCCATCCCCATGGAGTGCATCCCGGGCACGTCGTGCGGCTCCCTCTTGAGCGTCATCGGCTGCTGCCCCTGGTGCAGCATGGTGGTCGCCGACGAGTGTCCCCCGTGCTGGTCGGGAGGCCACTGAGACCCAAACAGCTCGTGGAACTGATTGTTGTTCATCATAGTTCTTTTTTTAAATTTTCTTATATAAAATCTTCTTCTTCTTCTCTAAGTGATTTTCGGCCAGTGATGTTGAACGAATCGTATTCGCATTGCGTCTCAACTGGCTGGCTAGTCGCTGTTTGTGTTCCTTTTTTAAAAAAAAAATGTCTTCAAACTTTTCTCTCTAAGGCAACTTCTTTTGTATGACCATGTGAATTTTTCTTCGAAAAACTATGGCACTCTGTCTAAGGTTTATTTATTTAATTATTTTATTTTTTTTGCAACTTTGTTGACTTTAAGCACCACTGATATATATTATTTTAACTGATGTATATATTCCGGCCGAGCGGCGATGTAAGATTTCTTTTCGCGAAGTTTATTTCTGGTATCAACTTTTTGAAAAGCAACAAGTTCTTTGGCATTTTGTAGCCGTGGTTTCCGTTTTTATTCTCTTTTCCACTTATATAAACATTCTACTAAGGCACTGTTTGATTTATTGTAATTTATATTCACTTGTTCCCGTATACTGTTTTATAGAACACAGAACGAACAAAAACAAAAAATCTGTAAAAAGAAAACCAAGGCAGAAGCGAGAGTTTAAGAGAATTAAGAAATATGAACCTATATATGATTTTCAAATTTGGAACAGTATCGATTTTAGAAAACCGAAACACGTTCAATGATCTAAAATCAAACTTTACGGTTATTTGTTCGTCATTACTATCCACGCACTAAGGCACTGTCACATTAATATATATAATATATATATCACAACACTGTGATGTTTGTACTTATTATTTGTACTATAGGTTTGTTCACAACTCGGCTGCGTTACAAGATGTCGACGCTTCGGCGGTTCAAGCGTTACTGACGCATTGACGAATCTCGTGCCAGTGTCGACCGAAATTATTGTATATTTTTTTTTTCACTCCGTCCGTATAAGTGACAAGGCTAGTTCACTAACAGCCGAAACTTAATTTTTAAACTTGATAGGTTTTATACGGGATGCAATTACCCCGAATGTGGGTAAAATAATTAAGACGGGGTAAATATTTGCAGGGTGGGAATAATTAAGGTATAAAAGTTGTGCTTGTCGTTGTGTGTGTGTGTGTGTACGTGTGTGGGTGTGTGCGGTCAGACGGGCGTGTTGGTGTGCGTGCCGCGTGTCATTGACCCCGGGACCCAAACAGTGGATTTCGGTGAAATGTTGTTGAACTCTAGTTTTGAATATCGGATGTTTTGAGCCTGCATTTTTGGCAATTGAGAAAAAAATATGTTACGTCACTGGGTCAATGACCCCTAGGTATTCAATACTCCAGGCTCGTATAAGTGTTATAATATAATATATATATATATATTTATAACTAGAATAAATATAGGTAATTTATACTATTTATATGTACATAATTATTTATATATATGTATATATATATACGTTCTATATACTACACTTCTCTAACAATATTTTTCCTATATATATATACATATATATATATATATATATACATGTGTGTGTGTGTGTGTGTGTGTGTGTGTGTGTGTGTGGTGACCTTGTGACGTCATCGCGGTATCGACCGCTCTCGTGACCCGTCCCGCACATTATTCGGGACTCAGTCTCAGACCATCCAGAGACTTGAGACTGAGTCTCACACACAGACTAAGTCTAAGATAGATACATTATATGTTATATGAGAAATATATGTTATATGAGAAAACAGCTTAATTTTATTATTAAAATATTATGTTATATATATGTATATATTCCTTCTTCTATAATAACTAAACGTGATTTTACTGATGTATTTATAGATTTGTATGGATTAAAGTTTGTAAAGACGACTGCAGTACAAATTAATAACAAAACATAACTGATTTTTTATCATATAAATTACAGACTATTGTTTAAAAAAGCTGTATCAAAATGGATCCAGTATTAATAATTGAGAATAATTATTATATTTATTCTTCTTCTACCTGGTAATTTCCCAGTTATAGCCAGGCTCTGCCTTACATGTTGTGAATAGTTTTGGCTAATTGTTTTTACGACCGGCCGCCTGCCTGACATCAATCCTCTTTGGGAATGCATTAATCAGTGATGTCTAAATACTCTTAGAAAGTACATATGACTCGGAAAAATCACATTGGTACTTGCCAGGATCGAACCCGCGTCCTAATGTATGAGAGGCGGGCCCTTTACCACTAGGCCACCACTGACTTAATTATTAAATTATATCTATTATATAGAGTTAATTAAAAATTAATTAGATTAAAACATGTTCTGCCAGTTTAGTATGTGAGTAAAAGATGGAATTACAGACAGATATACAAGTAATATAAGTCAGTGGTGGCCTAGTGGTTAAAAGGACCGCCTCTTATACATTAGAACGCTGGTTCGATCCAGGCAAGTACCAATGTGATTTTTACGAGTCATATGTACTTTCTAAGAGTATTTAGACATCACTGATTAATGCATTCCCAAAGAGGGTTGATGTCAGGCAGGCGGCCGGTCGTGAAAACAATTAGACAAAACTATTCGCAACATGTAAGGCAGACCCTGGCTAAAGCTGAGAAATTGCCAGGTAGAAGGAGAAGTTACAAATAATATAAAGATGATACAAAAGAAGGGGTTTTGTATATTAATATCTTAATATTTTCAAACTTATAATTATATGACTTTATATTATATATAAGGCTAACTACACATAGTATTTTTTGAATATTTCTTATTATCAATGTGAAATGAAACTCGAAAACTGTAAGAAATGTTTATCGGAAACCTTATTACTAACTAGTTTTTGGAAGCGACTTCGTCTGCGTAAATTTATTTAGTGAGTTAAAATAAGAGATATGTTAACCAACAGGCAGAGTTAATTATAGTGTCACGTGACTTTTGACGTAATCCCGCGGGAGTGACAGGAAATTCCGGGATAACCTATAGTCTATGTCGTATTCTGATACGTAAGCTATATTATTGTGAAGTTTCATCAAAATCAATTCAGTTGTTTCTGTGTTAAGAAGCAACAAACATGCATACATGTTCAGGGTTAAATTTTAAAACAACTGATTGTAAAGTTATGAATACTTAAAATTTGCTAATAGTGACGTCACTATATTAAATGTTGATATATATATGTCTTTGTCTTTTATATTTCTTTATTTTCATATGAATTTCCAAATCAAATTTATAGCATTCATACCATAAAATATATAAAATAAAAGAATGGTTTGGAATGAACGAATGAAAGAATGAAAAGTATTGTAGGAATGAAAGATGAGATTGATGAAGTACCTTCACTCTCAAGTAGTATCAATTTGTGCATTTTAATTAATTTAAGTTTATTACGAGCTTTATTATATTTGGTGTATATTAAGGAAGTATGAAATACTATGGATAAGACTTGATTGATATAACTTTTTAACCCGGTTTTGGCTAATAATTTTGCTTATAAAAATGAATAATTAAGGATTTTCTTTAGTGTTTTATATAGAATAATAATAAAAATCAAATAAAATAAATATAGGGAAAAAAGTTAAGCTACAGTAAGACAGGTCACTTCACTGATGGGTAAGATCCTTGTATGACGATACGTTATAAGAATGGCTTTTCAAAAATGGAATGTTCCCAAAAATCAAAAATATATCCGAATACTGGCTGGATATAAGAACAATGTATTCGGAAGTTTAAATTGAGAACATTCGAAATTCAAATCTGTCCGGTGGCGGGAAGCGTCCAACGAACTATGAACCAACGTTTGAACTTGGAATGACCTATGACTTAAATAACTATTATACACTAACCCCCATATGATACTTTAAATATTGAACACAGAAATATTATAAGAAATATAAAAATACCTACATTATTAATAAAAATAATGTTAATTTTATTATAAAAAATGCTTAAAATTATCATCAAAAAACTATTTATATAATGACGTATAGATTTCTTATATTAAATGAATCCTAGTATGTAATGTAGGGGTTAATTTCCTAGCTAGATGTTACGATGAACCCAATTCGGGGGTCAATGACCGGCCGCCGAACCGAGATAACGATATTGATCGTCGATTTACAAGTGACAGTTATCTACCAGACTGCCGTGGTAGAAATGACGTATCGCGTTCCTTTTTTGAAAAATTCCTAGTTCCATACTGGCTGGATGACTTTAAAAAAAAAAAAAAAAAATTAAATTTGTTTGTCATATTTAACACTGGCTGGATGACTTTTATTTTATTATTTAATTTTTTTTATTGTCTGAAATTTTAATACTGGCTGATTGCTTTAACTTTTTATTCCATTTTAGAATTGATTATAATTTTTTTTTTATTATAGTCATAGTATAAAAAATGTATGTATTTTATATACTGTATTATATATAATAGTTATATAATACATAAGGGTGTTTCATTTCAACTAATCCGATGTAAGTTTCTCTATTCCCTTCAATATTTCGTGATACGGTTTCAGAGATTATTCCACCACAATGAATCTTTATCAGTATAAGTCACTTATTTTCTTTTCTAATAGACAATACCTTTTATACCAAAATTTTATTTTATTATATTTATACAAATTTGATATACTTTCACATTGACTGTGATAAAATTTATAAACAAAATAATTACGTCGCTGACCTCGAAAACTATCGATAAAAAGTAAATTTTAAATACGTAGCTATCACCCGTCACGTGAATAGAAAGAAGCCTTAAATATTTTATAATCAATATAAAAGCCTTCAATCATTCCACAGTAACCAATAATTATTATGGTGTTTTTGACTATAGGTTACTAAACTAAAATAATAGAGTATGCCCAAATTGGTAAAGTTATTAATCAAACATAGCTCTAAAGGTTAATAAGCTTAATAAATCATTTAAATGTGTTACTGTTACATTACAAAAGTGAAAACGCTATCTGTACCACGTCCCAAATTAAATATCCCTGTAATGTGAACGCGGCTTAAACAATTACAATAATATAGTGTACTACTGCCTTTATTTAGTATTTAAAACGTGCTTATTAAAATAAAGAAAAAAAAATATAAAACCTTCGTGGATGAATAAATTAAGGTAAAATAAATCCTGGCTGTTGGTGAGAAATTTAAAAAAAAAAAAGAACGCGAAAGCGCGGGAGTTATGAAACAAAAATGGCACCGGGAAGCCACCGCGCGATAAGACGCCGTCCCACGTGGTGGGTCAACGGCTGCTCCACTGTGCAATGGAGTTCGCTGAACGCGCTCACACACACACACACACACACACACACACACACACACACGCGCACAGATGAACACATTGACACATCGGCTCGCAGGTGACTAATTGTTTTTTAAAATGGCCTTTTATAACGTCTGCCTTACTTGGTGATTTGTTTTGTATATATAATATATTATTTACTTGCGACTGTTCGTATTGAAGCTATATAATATATTATATACTATATATATATGTTGTTATATATGTTTGTATACCAATCATTCGTCATCGTACCACCCTTAGTGTATCGTCCGCGAGGTCGTTTAATGAACTAGGGCCGTTACACTGGTGAAATAAAATTGTATTATGACCTTTGACCTTGAAATTGAAGAAGATATTGTGTGGAAGTATCCAAATTTATATAAGTTCGGTTATATCGCGTTTACAAGAGAACCTTTCAAAAGTCTGGGATAAAACTATCCTATGTTCTTCCTCAAGGTCAACTCTATATGTACCGAAATTTCATTAAAATCAGTTCAGTGGTTTAGATATAAAGCGTAACAGACAGACAGAGTTACTTTCGCATTTATAATTATTAATTAGTAGGGATTTTAGCCTAAAAATATTCATTTTTTTGTGAGTCAAATATATTTCTTCCTAGAAAAGTACCAGGAGTTCATGACCGTATAGGAGTTAGAAGTCGTTGTACTGTATTCTACTACATACATATACGTCACCGCGACCTTGTCGCCGGTTCGATTCCCCGTACGTCACCCCGCTAATGCCATCTGACGGATGACATTATAAAATTTGACGTTTTTTAAAAAAAGGTGACGTCCGAAAAGTATTTATATGTACATTTTTGTGTTTTTTTTTTTTATGACGTCTAAGAAGTATTAATAAATATGAAGTTATTTTGGCAGTTGTTATAGAACTTGGCAGATTGGTTGTCTTGAGTGTAACAAAATGTTTTTTTAACTATTATGTTTTACATTTTATATATTTTTTGTTAAATCTCCCTATATATGTATAGAAATAAATAAAAAAAAATTATGAGAATTTCATATAAATACCTTTCACTTAGCATATAAAAGTACATAGATATCTAAATTACATACAACAGTTTAACTATAAAATCTTAGTCTGTTTGTTGTGCTTAAACTTTGAAACGTCTGTACTGATTTTGATAAAACTTTTACTCATCGATAGCCAATATAATAATGAGTAACATAGGCTACTTTTTTATATATATTTCCAGTAAAATTTTGAACTACATTACTTCTAAAACATATATATTTTTAAATTTCATAGTATTGTCAAATTTTAATTTTTATTCCAGACAGTAGAGTATGTTAGTAATAATTATAATTAATGATCATTCTTTGATGATCCTCCAAATTAATGCCGAGTAATATTTTAAATTTGTCCAAAAACTGGAATTTGCTTTGACAGAATTATTTATAACTCCTGTAAGTTACGATATATAAAAATTATGTTTTTACATATTTTTATTGAAAATAAGAATTAGATGTCGTCTGATTTGTATTGAAGGTAAAAGAAATGGATTAATTTAATTTTAACGTTCTTCAAAATGTTAAGGGTCTAATATTGGTATGCGTTTGCAAATATTTTATTTGTCTTAAATAAAATATATAAATATTCAATTGACTAAACCAAACTTAACCTGAATTTCAATAATGTAATAAGCTCTTATAAATTACTTTGTATACTAAATCCAATACATATATAGGCTTTTAAATCATATGTTAAAAGAATTACATATTTTATATATGATAAATTCTCAATATACAACTAACATATCATGTTTGAACAACTGCGTAAAATTTATATATAGACTATGATAAATAATTAATTTTCATAAGCAAAATATTTAAAAAAAAATACAAATATATTTGTCCAAAGATTTCGTAAATCATGAAACAGAAGCAAAGTTGACAACCCTCAAACCAAGCCCCTATATATAATCCCATAATTTTGAACCCAGCACCAAAATCTCATCAAACCCAGCCCCAGAAGGACCTACGACAACCGTACCTCACTTTGCGGAAGTACAACGGTCATCGTACACTGTTTCGTTCAAATTTTCGGCACATTCAACCCAGGTCAATGACCCTGCTTATACAACATTGCCATTTATAATAGGTGATGTTAAATTTTTATTTCAATATTTTGTATTCAATAGGCTAGATTTTTTTTATTTTTTTCTATATTACTATCTAAAAATATGTAAAAAATTGCACTAATTTTGACTTAGTAAGGATTTTACGTAAATTAAACAATATTTTAAACAAAAATTAACGAAACTAAAATAATACTCATATATATATTTAAATAATGTTATATAATAGTTATTTTGGTACAAATATATTTGTATATAAAGAATTTCTTTGATATTAATTTAAAGAATATTGGAGTTACTTTCGTTCGATCACCCTGAGGTGAATGACCTCCGAAAATTCGCCATCTAGTAAACTTGTTATTACAGAGAATGTTAAAAGAACAAGGATAACAATAGAAAAATATATATATATATATATAGGCTTTCTTTGTAAAATCATTAAATATATATATTTTTTTCATTTTTCATTCAAAAATTTTTTTTTGTATAAAAAATATATTATATTTATTATATAAATATAACAAATTTTAATTAAAATTATATTTTTCTCAGTGACAATCAAAAAAAATCATCTATGTATAGAGATTGGCGAAAATTGTTCGTGAAATAGCGAAATTAAACAGTACATTAAACTTAGCGTCGGACGTACGTTGAACTTACAATTTTCGGGGGACATTGACCCCGTCATATTTATAGTGAAATAAGACAAGCAATACTTTAGCGTACGAAAGAGATAGAATTTCATTATAATTTTCTATAATTAATCAATTATTTTTATAGAAAATTTTGTTATATTGTCCAAATAAATTCTATATATATACATATGTAGATATTTATGTATCTATAAGCATGACATACCTTATCAACAAATTAACTTTTAATTACATACAATTAATAAAATCTACGAGATATTTCCCGGTTCATTGACACTATAGATAATGAAAACAAAATATACCATCATATGAATTACCAACTTGGCTGGTGTTATTACTACTATGCTTACGAAACGAAATATATATATGATTAAGAGTATTTAGACATCACTGATTAATGCATTCCCAAAGAGGGTTGATGTCAGGCAGGCGGCCGGTCGTAAAAACAATTAGCCAAAACTATTCACAACATGCAAGGCAGACCCTGGCTATAGCTGGGAAATCGCCAGGCAGAAGAAGACAGATGTTAGTTTCTGTTTTTCTCATACCAATATCGAAGTACCCCTAACCTGATAAGGCCAAGGTAACTGACCTCAAACATGAACAATGTGTCATAATTACTAACAAAAGAGTGCAATGACCCACAAAAATATTGTGAAATATAACATACATACTTAATAACTTGCGGTTTTTGTTACAAATATAATGAGAATGAAAATATTTTCTTATAATAAGATGGTCATCATGAGTTCAAAACATAGTATATGTATATAAAAATTTCTTAGGAATATTTAATTATATTATATATTTGTATATAAATATAAAACGGCAAGAATGACTTTAATAAAACAACAAATTAATTCACACAACCGGAAGGGCATTAATATAGCACTTTCCTCATATTTTGAACATGATCAATTGGGGGTCAAACACTTTGATAGGAGCAACGCACCCGCGACTTGGATACGAACCCGCACTTGGATACGAACCCCGGACCAGCGCCATCTAGGGTTGAAGAGCGGAACTAAAGGTCAATCACAGGATAATGACCGCTCGAGATTATACAGAAGACTATTTTTAAAGGACTTAATACATTTAATATAATATATGTAGGTAATAATTAGTATTAAGAAACGTTTGGGAATTGTAGCAATAACTTTATTGTGTGTTTAAGGTTGTTTGTTTATAAATATATTAGTTATACAATATTCAAATTATACATATGTATATCATGGCAAAATTTGTGAATAATATATATGTCAAGATTGTTACTATTACAATACATAAGTTGTTTATAACTAAATCATATATTAGAATAATGAATGTATAAAATTCCTAAATAGAAGTAAACAAATTGATTTTTATCAAAAATCACTTATATTCTTATTAAAATATAAAAAAATGAATAAATAATAAGACTTTATATTAAGGAATCTTACATAAATGTAAAAAAAATTAAGTAACAAAAAACGTTTCAAAGCTACCGCCATCTGGTGACTAATAGCGGTACCAAAGTTCAAACATTGCCAAACCTGAGTTCAGCGACCTTTATCTCAACAAAGCCGGTGATGACTTATATTTTACAACTCGCTTATTACTAACGTCAGGTTTTAAAGATATTTTAATACAATATTAAAATAAAAGAAAAAAGAAGTAACAATTTGAAGTATTTATATATATGCAGTAAAATATTCTTGTATTTTGTTATAATCAAGACTGAAAACTACTAATATTTAAATATTATAGTCTTTATTAATTATAAAGTTAAAATATCAAACTGCTTCTTTTAAGAAATCCTGTAAGAAGTACCCCTTTTTAAGGAATATGCTTTACTGAATTGTGTAAAACTTTAATTTTTTTGCTACATTAAATATACTTTATTCTATACAAGGAGCTTCAAAATTAAATTTGGAGTCCTCAATAGTATACTTGTATTTTTTCTTCGGAATTATTCGTATTATAATGTTTGAGAAATACTTTATAATTTTCAGCGACTTAAAATTTTGAATAATAGATTCGTTTTCATACAAGAAAAACACTAAAAAAGGGTATATATACATAAAAGTAGTATGTTTCAGTTAATTATCAACTTAATTGATTAATATTTTTGAAACGGATCCTTATACTTCTGTTCTTTATTAATATATTAAAAACTATTTAAATTTCTTTTTATTACATTTAATACGAGTTCCCTATGAGATCAAGAACTATAAGTTAGTCAAGACGTTATAATAATAATAATAAAGCCTTAATAATATATATTTTAATTTAATATATAAGAAAATTATATATAATAAATTTATTTTGTAGTATATAAGTTAAAACATGAGTAATATGTACAATATATTCAAATTAGTAATTAGATCATAAGTAACTGTTATATGACGAAGGCTGGACCGCTTTTTATTGAACTCATTTATGATTGATAGTCAGCGACAATGAAAAATTAAAAAATCTTAATATTGAATATAAAAATAGAAATGAACTGAAATAATTTAATTCTTATCTATTTAAAGGTATAGATATAATGTTGAGTGATAATGTACTACAGATAAGAAAGTTTGTGAGGATGTATGTTTGTTGCTATATTACGCAAAAACTATTCAACGGATTTTGATTAAACTTTACAGTAATGTAGCTTAGATATGGAAATAGGATATGAGGTATGATTTATCCCGAATTTTCGTGTAGTTCCTACAGGATGAGGTAAGATTTGTATTGTGTTAGAAGTCACTTTATATAGGCTATACAAGTTAGTGAGCGTCAGTTAATATTTATACATTTTTTAACAACTATTATATATTTCTTTCTAATTGTAAGTCCAATTATGAAGTAAAGACGCATAAAATCATGGGCATAAACTAGTAATACATAAAAAATATTTCAAAAATCCTTTAATTTTGAGCATATACCTATATTTTTTTGCTTTGTAATTTCCACAGTTATATCCGTTTAGTTTTGCCAAACCAAAATGTTTTTCTAAGTTTAATATCTTTATATATAGAATTTTATTTATTTAATAACTTTTATATTATCATAAATTATTTAAAGATGTATGTATGTTTGTGTTATTACAGCAAGAATTATCTCCTAGATTAAATCGAACATATATATATATGTATATTTATTTATCTATATATAAACATTTTATATATATGTAAGACCCTGAAATAAGGACGTTAGGTATATAAGAAGCACAATAATAATGGTATGTATGAGGTAAAGATATGTCATTGAAATTATATACAAAGATTAGGTACACATAATATGTTATATGTATTAGTTGAGCTATGTTAATATGTTTTTGATAAAATTTTAATGAAATTCATAGTTTAATAAATATTTTCTTCTGTTTATATGATCGTTTATTTGAGTTTGTCTTTATTTGTAATTAATTCTGTATTAAAAGTTATTTTATGTATATTTACATACATATTATAATAATACAATGTATATATAATTATATATTATTAGATTATCGATGTATATTTATGGACAACGATAATAAGGAAAACATTGCAATCGGTCAACGTGCGATTATAGGAGCTTAGCGACTGGCGATAAAAATGCCATAATGCGTCACTCGGGTATTAATGACAGCGCCATCTGTCGACAGGTTTCCAAACGAACTAGCGAACTAAAATGCAGAGCGTATAAAATATTTAGTTGACTTTATTTAATTAAATTCTAATTATCGTATAGTTTTGTATTTATTTAGATTTTTAATTGAGAAGCTTCTCTAATGTAGCTACTACGCACTAGATGGCGCTTTAAGTTTTCTATACATTTTTAAACAATAACTATCACCGATCAATAGTTAGAATAAATTACATTTCAAAAATGTCAAAACCTGTATAAAAAAGTATAATAATTCAGATTTTCACAAAAAAATCTGATGTTTTCAAGCTTTTCACTTAAATTTCTGAGACGCCGTACAAATTTCAAGGTCAACCTCTACAAAAGAACCCTTTAGACCATAAACTACTCGACAAAAAAATCTTTCCACCAACATATTGGGTATTATAAACGAAAATCTTCGTTTTATATTTTATATAAAATCTTTATTATTAGAAATTAAAGCCATTAAATTTGAAAAAAGTGATTTTCAAATTAAATATATATGTATATAATTGTATATAATATAATTATTTAATATTTAGTATATTTGTTTAACATGAACGCGTTGTATAATCCTGCACGTTATATGACCCGCACGTGTTGCAGACAGTGTTGCGCAATCGGTGAAATCGTGAAATGTCTAGCTTAGGAATTCATTGAGATATTATTAATTATAACTTAATTGAATTAATATATTTTGTTCAATTAATTATATTATTATTTCTAGGCTTAGTTTGTCTATTTGTGTGTTAGGAAATGTATTATTTTTTTTTAATGAATATATAAAATTTTTAAATGAAATTTGACCATAGTAATTTAGTATAATTTTTGGCTTTTCAGTTTTAGATGAATTTGGTCATATTTTTCACGTTACAAAAGAATCAGAAAGTAGACTATGATATTAAAAATATTTTACAAGCAATTTAATTTATGAGTCATATTTCGCAAATATTTTTAATTATATATGCTTATTCTTAAAGATAGTATAAAGAAAATTTAAAACAAAACGTTTTAATTAGTATGAAATAATACTAATAGTTCATTGACTGTTATTTAATAAATAAATTAAAAAATGATTTTATCAGCCAATTTTTTTATTCACAAAAAAAATAAACAACATAAAACAGGGATACTGTCGCACAAAGGAGCATCGCAAGTTTTTTGAAATACAATTAAACGATTTTGCAACAAAAACAAAGTGGGTCAGGACCGAAATTGTGACCCCAAGCGGGTGACCTTGAGGCTCAAGGCCGCTGGGGTCAGATTAGGGCATTCCAGACCAAAATGTGGAGCGACCTTTGACCTGTATACGATTCAAGTTTGAGGTCATTGTAACCTAACCAGGAAACTCGAACAATTACATATAATATTAGTACACGATAGTTAGGAAACGAAGGACGAGATGAAATGAGATTTACTATCTTATATACTAGTTTTTGAATTTAATGGACAAAAGGACATTTTCTTTAAGAAAAATAAAGCCAAAATATAATATAATAATGGAGTATGAAGTATATATATGAGTAGATACAATATGTATTTGAGATCTAAGACTTTCGCGAGTATTCATTTAAATGAAACTAATACTTTTCGGATATTTTACGTGCTTTATTTTTGTAAAAAACTAAATACTCTCGACGTTTCGGTTACTTTGTAACCGTGATCAGGGGCAGACGAGATGTTTATCATTCAATCCGAAAACTATTAGTTTCATTTAAAACAATATCTATATATGTTCAAAATAAAGTAAAATCCGCAGTATATCACCTGTATAGTAAATGCTGAAATTATGTTTTCAACTTAAATATACACAAAAAAATCTTTTAAATTCAATACTCTGAATATTTATGAAAGAACAGAAAGGGTTTTAATGAATGGAATGAAATTTAACAAACTTTTATAAGCACGTGAAACACAAATGGACAAAGGAAAATCATTTTCATTGATATGAGGGGTGAGGCGGCACAAAGGAACACGTGTGAACATTAAATAGAATTATTAGGGGCGAACTAAATAATAGACTATAGTATATATAATATAAAACTAGAATATATAATAAAAATTAGTCAGTGGTGGCCTAGTGGTTAAAAGGCCATCCTGTCATGCATGAGGGCGCGGGTTCGATCCTGGCAAGTACCTACTTTTTCGAATCATATGTACTTTATAAGAGTATTTAGACATCACTGATTAATGCATTCCCAAAGAGGGTTGATGTCAGGCAGGCGGCCGGTCGTAAAAACAATTTGCCAAAACTATTCACAACATGTAAGGCAGACCCTGGTTAAAGCTGGTTAATTACCAGGTAGAAGTAGATTGAATATAATTAACATAATGAAACATATATACAATTATGAATATTATTTTTTTCATACAACCAAACCACAGCCGCATAAATCCGCAGTCACAACACAAAAGTTGCTTTCATTAAGCTGAAGTCCAAAGGAAATTACTTGCTTTTCAACCACGTGGTGGAAATGGAGCACCCTTTATAATGTTCACAATAGAGCCGTTCCTTACTAACTCGCGAAATAAACTATTGGATAGAAAGGGATAGATATACTCAAGTCAAATTATTACAATATGATGTTCGGTATATTTTATCTAATTTAAAATATGTAGTTATTTAATATCATTAATATTAATATAATTTCTTACATTAACTGTTATGTAACGCGTTAGTTTGTTTGCGCAACACTCCTTAACGGGTGAGTTATAATGAACGGAGTAACAATATTAACATTATTACCGAACCAGTTAGTGGAAAGAAAGATAGTTATATTGTAACTAATAAAAGTTATATATATTAATACTGAAAAGAATCGTTTTATTTTAAGTCAATTAACTTACTCATAATAATTGTATATTTACTTTTTTATTATTTCGTTTGAATAAATACATTTTAGTCATAATAGTATCTTTTTTATATTACAAAGAGTCCCGACTTGTGTCGTAACTATTATATAGAATTGATACCGCACATTATGTGATAATGAAACTTATTGTAATGTATTTTTGGTATAAAATCGATTGAATAACTTTTACTTATCTGTAATAGGAAAACCGAGATATCGGACCCTATATCAACTTCTGTGTATGCGGTTTTTGTGTTCCCTATTTTCAGAAAAACATTCACTGTATCTATTAAAATATATCACAAATAATATACTAAATATTTCTTTATATATATGTTTTTAAAGTTTATGAATTTGTTAAAAACAAACACGTGTCACGACAGAGTGTTCCGAGAATTTAATAAAATGACTAAATTAGCACGCGCATCGCGACACACTCGGGCCGCCGCGAATAATTGAACTTTAAAATAAGAACAGTTAACAATACACTGACATAACGATCATTATAAACGAAATTCACATGAAAATTAACCGCTAATTAAAGAAATCACACCAATTATATATAACGAAGAGCCTCGTTCATACAATACGTTACATCGAAACCGAGTTGTGTAAAACCTATTCTACCAAACCTTCTTTCATTCCAAATAAAAACTTTTTTTTTGTTTTATTTTATCCACAACACAACACTGGCCACTGACACTTCACTTTTAAAATATTATTTTTAAATTTCGAATATTGCCGCCGAATAAGGACCCGCTCACATAGATGTTGCAAGCGGGCCATCGGGGGAACAACTAGGAAATGTACGGCCGGCACACCACTGCACTCACGCACACAGACACGCGCGTCACACCGACGTGTGTATTGAGGTGCATTTGACAGGTACATGCGTTTATTTATAGGCCGTTCCATTTTTGAAATACCCAAACATTATTTTTTTTAAATCCGTAACAAGAGATCCGAGGCGATGATTAAAATAGGGTTAAACCGAACAAAGGAAATAATTAAAAATTTTAATAGCGACCCCAGGAATCGTAGATGAAAAGTCTTAGCATAGAAACAGCGTAGCGGAGAAAAATGTTACAGCTAAATCACAACAACCGTTATTACATAACAGTATAGAGCGAGAGGGGGATAGAATGTGCGCGGGTTAGAGCGAGAGGTCCGAGATTGTGTAACCCAACACAGGGAAAGCTCGTACGTACTTTCTTTGTACATAATCACTACCTTTGCCTTTGGTTCTTTAAGTGTAGTGACTGTTAGTGTGTGTGTGCGCCTGTGTATGTGTGCCCGCGAACGAAACAGCCCAAGTTGGGAGGGATATTATTACAAAATGGACTCTTTCCCTATGTAACAGGGATCAGTTTCGGATGTTACTAGATGTCACTAGGGCTATTTTCGTCTAGCAGTCCGAGCTGGCAGCTTTTTGAAGGAGTTCAATGACACCAGTTTGGCATGAATCTGAGCCTACTTATTTTTTCCTCAGCGTTGTAGTCCACAAAAGACGATATTTCCACAAAACGGAAACTAGGGCGTGCGTAGTGCGGTATTTTTTATCGATCTTCCACGAAATCAAAGGATAAACCGTCAAAATGACTGGAGCTGTACAGTAATGAGCGGTAGAGTGAATCGTCCGAAAATGAGGGCATGCTCGAATGATAATAAATTTAAATAACAAGTATACGCTATTCATCAATAGATGGCGTTATTGAAAATAATGATTGTTTTATTGACAAAATTGTATCTACTCTATCTATTGCTAAAGACGCCGACAAGAATGTGTCGTCGATCGTGCATTCAAATCATTCCACAGACTATACCGAAATATGGGTCAGTTAGAACGTTTCCCGCCAAAATGTATCTCTACAAGTGGCTCGCTGTACTAAACACACATTAAACATGTAATAACTATTGTCTCATACATTCTATTATGATGAAAGTCTAAATTTTAATTGGCTTTGTCTCAAAATAGATGCTTATATTGTAAATTATTGCATCACAGAGGAAGTGAAATAACAAACATAATATTTATATAGCCGTCTCTTCCTGTCCGTATGGAGCCGTCTCGGTCGCACACGTGCGACTCCACGTAAGAGCTAAGGAAGCGCGTGACGCGAGTCTGCACTCCTCCCACTCGGGGGATGCCTGTATGTCTGTCTCGCTCGGGCAAGGCAACGGAGTGCGTTGACCTGTCCTTGCTGTATCTGTGTGCGGTACAGTTATATACTGTGTGTGTGTGTGCGTGTGTAAGGATCGATCCACACGACGTCAAACATTTTCTATTATTATTAATATATAATATTAATTTCATTGTCCTCACACATGGTACAATCAATAAGGATTCAAATGCATTATAATATTAAAGCTTAATTTCCAACAGCCAAACCTGTTTTCGATATGGACGTCTTCATTTTGATCATGGCTTACCTGTAAAACGAGATAACATATATTAATAAATATAAATAATTAAAGTGAGAATAATGTTAATTAAATATTAAATGTCAAAAGAATCGCCCCTAGCGATTGTAAAAAAGTTGCGTCAGAGTCCATAAAAAATGTCTGCGAGGCGTCAACGTTGCATTACATCACTGCTTGTGCGTGTGTGGGTGACGCACACAGGCACATACTGTTATACACACACACACACACACACACACACACACACACACGAGCATCTAATCTTTTGTGGAATGTGGGTTTCGTACCTTAACGAGTAGTTTTAAAAAAAGTCTGAAAAGGGAAACTCTTTGAGGCCTTAAATTTCACTTCTGCTAACATATTCCAAATCCATACGTCATATGACCTATTAATATTAATGAATGAGCCTTACATATTATATATATGTATATATAGATATATATATTATATTTATTTAATATATATATGTATATATATGACGTGTCGTGAGTCATGTCATAATGAACAAATGTACGCTAGCACATTTGACTTGTTAAATTTTATGAAGTTATATTAATTGTCTCATTTATCTCATAACCAAAAAATTACGTTATTAATGCAGATGAAGTTTTAACGTTCTATTAAAGAGACGAAAACTAAAACTATATATATAGTACTAAAAAAAAAAATGTCACAGCCTTTTATGAATGGAGTACTGCAATGCGGGTCTTAGGGAACCGCTTTCAAACATTTAAAAAAGCCAAAGATTTTTTCTTAAATGATAACTGCATCAACGTACAAACTGAAATTATAATTTTTTTTCATTAAAAATTCTCTTAATATGAAAAATATATAACTGGAGTTATGAATGATTAAATTCTTGTATGTTTATTATAAAAATTAATGTTTTTAGAGGAAAAATGTGGAGTAAAAACTAGTATTTGTAATTAATTTATAACAAATGTTTAGTACGAGTACCGTCTCTCTCACACCGACACAGATACAGTTCTCGACCTCGTAACAGGCTTCTGTAAGCCGGTTGATATATAGTTTTTTTTATACTAAATGCATTTTAGATTCGCGAAAAGCATAGCAAAATTGATTTTATTAATAAAATACGAAAAATTATACAAAAAATATAGCATAATATATATTTATATATGTAATTTCAATTGATAAAATATGACAATAATACCGAATTAGGGGTGTGAAAGCATTTTTTTGTTATTTAAGTAAAAATTAAGGTTATAGGTATATATTTATATATTATAAGTAAACGTTTTATGTATTGCTAAAACCTGACCTACACCAACCACGATAACCAATATGACTCAGTTCATTATATTTACGATACTATATTCTATACATTGTCGCGTTTTTGTTTTCATTGCGAAACACTTGGGTCTTGAAGCCTTGGTCCGTCCTCGTCTGGTTGAGGAAAAAACATCTGACATCCACATCCTGGAATGTTAGGATGAGAAGCTTAGATAATATTAAGTTAGATAATTAACATATAATCATATGAATGTCTTTGACATAATTGAGTTTGAATTACGACTAAATTGAGCAATGAATTATAACTATGAACATTAAATTATATATATATATATTTTATACAGTAAATCGTAATTATTTTTTAATATATACAGGGTGACTGGTGAATTACTATCAATATTTAAGGAGAATACTCGGTACATATTTCTCATTCGAATTATGTAAAAAAAATGAAGCTACAGTGTCCACACGATGCGTAATTAATTACATAACTTTTGGTTAACTTTACTTAGAAGTTTATTAATATTTATGATATATTAATTTTTATTTTGTCATATATGATCGTCAAATATCACGTCCTCAAGTAACGATAGTAATTCACCAGTCACCCTGTATATGTGATTGTATATTAAAAATTTCTATTGTATAGTACCTAACCAACTCCGCCCCATATCGAGGGCCCTCAAGTATTTCGTTACAACTTATTGCCTCACAAACACATTGACACAATGTCTCTAATTGTCATATTTAACAGATGCCCTGTAGAGCGCTGCTATACATCTAATATATTATAAATGTTCAAAAATAATGCCTAGAACATTGTTATCGGATAAGTTCAATGACCTTTGACATATAAATAAATTCGTGTATCAATAAGTTTATACGATCTCGATGACCTTGACGAAATAAGAAACCACTGGGTTACGTAAACGCCAAGGAGATATAACGTGTAGAAAGGACAACCATTATTATTAAAATAAACAAATATTTCGATGTATGTAATATATCAAAAAAAATATCACGGTACTTCTAAATATTATTATATCACATAAAAGTTGTACTTATGCAAAATATAAGTATAGGCTGATGGTTGGTATTTCTAAAAATCAACATTCACACAGTAGAATAGTTTTGTGACAGGAATATAAAATGTTATTACGGCGATAACCTGCCTGGCTGGCTCCTTGGATGTACATCTGCATAATTAGGTTTAAAGTTTAGGCCCGACATTAAAACAATTGGTCAGTGTCGTATCTATAATGACCTGCGTCTATACATACAATAAAATAAACATTTATTTATTTTAAACTTATAATTTAATTCATATAAAATAATTAATTAAATATAACAATTTTTATTTTCGATATCCGAAAACAAATGACTAATGAGTCATTAAAATCGCGTAGTGTGAAAGCAACAACTTTTTTCCGAATGATGCGTGTATGTGTGTGTGTGTTAGTGTGCGTGTGTATGCATCCTTGTATGTGTGCGTGTGACCTAGTTCCGAGCGCGCTCGGGTATCCTCGGGTGTTTCCGTCGCACATCGCCATCTTGTGCACGACAAGCGTAAAATGAGCCGCGACGTCCTTAAATATTAAATAATGTTATACCTTCGATACGGCTCGTGACATTTTGGTTGTTATTTTTTTATATTTCGTGATGACACCGTCACTTAATTTTACTTCCGAATGTACGTATGGTGGCGACTTTCAAAACATTAGTCACTTTCGTTTTTGTTAAAGACTAAAAATAACTCTTTATATATTATATAATTATTATTTAGTAAATACTTATTTTTGAATACTTATTCCTGAATAGTCCTTTGAAATTATAAGTATTTTCAGAGTCTAAAATTATAAGCATTTAAAAGTTGACCTTGAAATTTAAACATGACAAGCAATTCTATTTTCACTAGGAATTCAAACAAAAATCCTTTGTTTAATAGTTTTACATACATATATACTAAAAAATTAGTTTATTATTTATATAATTATCAAAATTTTCATAGATCTTTCTTATTTTTATATAACACAACGAACAGATCATAAATATATTGTCCGCCAACAGAAAAACAAAATTCACATGCGAGATTTTATATTCAACTTTCGAAGTGAAAGTGGTGTGTTGTAAAAATTTGACACCGGAAGTCAAGATTTGAGAGTCGCGGAAGTGACGAATGATATTACCGATTAGATACTCTTTATATTATATATATATGAAATTTTAGATGTTTTTAATAAAGATCTAAGGAATTAGAATAATTAACTACATATACTTATGTATTTTATACTAATATCGTTAACAAAATTTTTAGCATATATCAATTTCAAATATTTTATTTTCGCTCACAATAGCCTCAAATTGATTGATTAACAATTTTTAAGCCACAATTGCAAAATTACTACATTCAATTAACAATTGCCAATTTCGTCTAATCTCATATAACATAGAAGTTATATAAAATTAGCCAAAAATATTAGTCACCTTATTATAACTAATAGGTTTAAAAATTTTACTAACTATTGAATATAAATTCCCTATAAATTCCATGTTTCACCTGTTAATGATTTATCTATATTTTCTATATAACCCGTCCATTACAGACACCGTACGTCCGTACACGTAATATTAATATAGTAATCTCGACCGGAAACATCTAGGCAGGTGTAATCACTAATTAACATCTGCCTAAAAATAATATATACATAATATAATGTGAAAGTTAGTTATTACGAAACGCACATTAATGACAGCGCCATCTGTTGGCGGGGATAAGAGTCAAAATTTCAAAATGGAAAGCATTTCCACGGATCACGAGAATTTAAAACAACGCCATCTGTTGATGGAAATCCGGAGTTACATTGAATTTTTTTGTTATTTATATTACAAAGACATGTCGCAAATGTTAGACTTTCACTTAGTTAGATAACAAACGGGTTGATAAGGCGCGGCTCAGCGGTCGGCGTCCACGTTCGTTGTTTTGGGATTTTCCTAAAGCGTTTGGTAACCTTTAAATGAAATTAATCATTCATATATATAAATATAATGTTTGTATGTTTAAATATAGTTTGAGGTTTGAGTATGTCTGTAGACTTAGTAATTAAAGACAAATTGGTTTTAATAGCGTTAACACTATCTATCACTTGGTGTTACTTGCATTAAGTTTTTCGGAAGATTTTTAATACAGATAGAAATATTTCAACTGTCTATGGAAACCATATAATCATGAATATGTATTAGGTATATTTTATGAGTTAGTGAAATACACGGGACATCCATGTTTTCTTTGTGTAAATTAACTATGTAAAACAAAATAATTAAATCACGTAAAAGATAAGTAAACTGTTTTATACAAACTTACAACAATTTCCATTTAAGTAAAGTATATAAAGATTCAACCTACCAACAACACTTAATAAAATCAAAACATAAGCTATATAATTTAAAATTTTAATACAAATGAACGATATATAAAAATCAAAAGTAGAACTAGTAATTATACATATTTCATGAACA